GATTTTTCTTTTTTAGTTTGTTTATATGGTAAATTGCATTGATGATTTTTCAAATATTAAACAAACTTTGTATTACTGATAAACTCTACTTGTATCATGATACATTACCCTTTTTATATGTTGATTGAAATTGTTAAATTGGATTTGTTAAAATTTTGATGAGCATTTTTGTCTCTGTTCATGGCAGAGATTAGTCTATAGTTTTCTTCTCTTGTAATGTTTTTGTCTGGTTTTGGTATAATGGTTGTCTCAGAATAATTTGAAAAGTATCCCTTCCTCTTCAGTTTTCTGGAAGCTTATGTAGAATTGTGTAGAATTTTTCTTTCTTAAATGTTTGATATACTTCATCAGAATGTGTTATCTGAGCCTGAAGTTTTCTTTATGGAAGTTTTCTTGTAACAACAAATCCGGTGTCTTTAGTAGATATAGAGTCATTCAGGTTATTCTTCTTGAGTGGATTTTTATCATTTGTGTCTTTCAGGGAATTTGTCCATTCTATCTAAGTTGCCAATTTTATTGGAACAAGTTGTTTATAATATTCCTTTATTCTTCTTTCATTACCTAGAGAATCTGTAGGGGCATCACTTCTCTCATTCTTGATATTGGTTATTTGTGTCTACACTTTATTCCTGATCATTCTGCTAGAGGTTTATTCATGTGATAAAGAACTAGATTCGGGGGCGCCTGGGTGGCTCTTGGAAGCACCATCTTTGCTGAGAATTCTCAAACGGGGACTGGGCACAGGCACTCAGCAGGGTACCTTTGTCGGTTAACTGTCAGTCTCCAGCTCTGGTCCTGATCTCACAGTTCCTGAGTTCGAGCCCCCCATTGGGCTTGTTCTGGCGATGTGAAACCTGCTTGGGATTCTCTCTCCCTCTCTGCCTCTCCCACTTGCTCTCTCTTTCTCTGTCTCTCAAAATAATAAATAAATAAGTTTAAAAAAAAGAATGAATCAGCTTTTGACTTCACTGATTTTCCCCCATGTTGTTTTTCTGTTGTCTTTTGTATTGATTTCTACTCTGGTTTTTATTTCCTTTACTCTGATTTGTTTGGATTTAAATAGCTCTTTCCTAAGTTGACGAAATTGTTTCCCATTCCACAGGGATCACTGTCCTTAAGTGCATCATGTCCAGGGTTCATATATTTTGAACAGTTTTTTAGTTGTTTCTGGAAGGAGTTTAAATCTGGTCCCTGACGCTCCCATCTTATCTGGAAACAGAAATCCACTTTGCTGATATTTTCAATGTTATCTTTTGTAATCTACTTGTGTTGTATTTGGAATGATGTTCAATATGGTCACTTCTCTGTCCAGATGAAGCTCCGAGGTTCTGCTAGTGAGTTGTAAGGAGCAAAATAGAATAATGATTTAAGTACTTTCTAGGTATTGAGCGTGTGTTAGGGGGTTAAATATGTCACCTAATTTAATCTTTATGATATGAAGTAATTGTCTTCATTATAAGATAAGGTCATTGAAGTTGAGAAGTTCAGTAATTTGCCCAAGGTCACACAGCCATAAATGGCACACTCAGCATTCAAACTCAAGTCTGTCAGACCCAGGGACCTAGTATTGCTTTCTAGTTCATTACAGTCCCATAAAGTTGATGAAACCCTTCAGAGGTTGTTTTGCTGAGTACAAGGAACCCAGAAATCTGCTTCTTATCTGCCCTTGCAAAGAGAGTAAGCATTTTACAACATCTAAGAAAGGAAAAACATTAGCACAGCTGGGAAGAATAGTTTTAATTGAAGTTCTGTCAGGTGACAGGAAGGAAAAGGGCTAAGAGAGCAGTTGTTAAGAAACAGAGGAAGAATGTGATTTTAGAAATGCTGGGTCAAGAAAATATTGTAACAGCGAGGTTACAGAGGGTGGAAGAGGGAAAAGGCAGAAGTTGTTCCACAGTGACATACTTTGGAAAGCTTCTGGAGCCATGCAAAAGCACATGGCCCTGACCCCTTTTGCTGTCACTGCAACCTTTCATTCCCTTCTATGAGACTCAAACAATGGACTCAAAATAAAGGGGAAAGAAAGGAATGTTTAGTACCAAACAGTGTTGCCAAGATAAAATGTTTTGGATTGATTCCCAGTGCCAAAGCACAGTGCATATTAACATTCCTTCTATATTTTTGGAAATGTGTTCTACCCACACTGGCTTTAATTTTAGTTTTTATAGATATACGGGTGTTTTGTGTTGTTTTGTTTCAATGCCCACAGTTGTGGGTTTTTTTTAACATCTATAACCTTTACTAGAGTATGAAAGCAGTATCTTCTGTGTAGATATGTTTACATTTTATGGCAGTTTTTAGCATGTGATCCTCACCTTTTATGTGACACAGTGCCTTTTTGGAGAACAACGGAATCATAGCCTGAGATGATTTGAAAGGTCATGACTTGAGCCTATTTTGTCATTGACCTGACTGACCATAGATGAAATTATTTGTAAGATGAGTCACATGATTATCTGACTCAGCTGGGAAGAATTTCCAATAATAGTTATAAAATAATGAGAATATTACAAGGGCTCATGAAGTGTAGGCAATACATTTGACAGGAAATATGTGCTACTTATTCTTTTAGAACACTCCCCCCCACACACACATTTCTATAGAATTTTATTAGGGAAATAGCAGTTAAGAATAGAGTCAGTTTTAAACATTAGGGCTCAATAGAAATCACTTTAATTCACTAAAAAGTAAAAGTGGACTGTATAGGAGGCCTCTACTTTGCAACTCACTGAATGCCAGGAAGTCTTCTCTGACCTTCCTATTCACAGGACCCCCTGCGCACTCAGCATTTAGTTGTGATGGCTTCTCCACTCTAGAGTATGAGCTTTTGCAAAGCAAACCATGTCCTCCATTTCATATCTAAGAGCCTAGCACAGTGTTCAGCATGTTGTAGATATTTGATATTTCAGTTAATCGGTCTATTGTGAGACCTGATTCTGACCATCCATTTCTTATATCTTTAATGTGTAAACATTTGTGCCTTCGGATGTTTGAACATATGAAAAAGTAGCTAAATAGATGTTTATATGTAGCTAGAAACAAAGAAACTTTGCCTGTTTTGTTTCCTCTTTTTTAGATTTTTACTTTAAAAAGTAAGACATATTTGGGGCATCTGGGTGCCTCAGTTGGTTGAACATCCACTCTTGATCTCAGCTCAGGTCTTGATATCAGGGTCATAGGTTCAAGCCCTACACTGGCCTCCACACCAGGCATGAAGCCTACTTGAAAAAAAGAGTAAGACATGCTTATTCTAATAGTTCAGACTGTAAAGAGAGAGAGATATTAAAAACAGCCATCTCTATTTCCAGTCTTTGTTGTGTTATTCTTCTTCCCCCTGTCAGATATTTGTGTTCATATAAATACTATTTGTACTTCAGTATCATGGACAGTACTCTAGGTAAATACATTTGTTATACCCAATTATTGAATACTGTACTGAGAGTGAACCGCAGAATGATCGTATGGGTACAGACTGGTTGTGAGTATACCTTGTTTACCCTTGTGACATTGTGGCTGACTGGGAGCCGTAGCTTGCTGCTGCTGCTGCTGCACCACGAGAGAATATTGTACCATGTCGCTAGCCCGGAAAAAGATCAAAATTTAAATTTTAAAGTATGTTTTCTACTGAAAGTGTATTACTTTTGCATTATCACAAAAGGAAAAATTGTAAGTCAAACCATCGTAAGTTGGGGACCATCTATAAATTACATGAGATATTCAGCACTTTATTATTATAAAATAGTCTCTGTGTTAGGTGGTTTTGCCCAACTGGAGGCTAGTGTAAGTGTAAGGGCTAATGTAAGCCCCAAGTGGGCTAGGCTAAGCTAAGCTATAATATTCAGTAGGGTAATTGAATGCATTTTCAACTCAAGATATTTTTCAACATATGATGAGGTTTTTCGGACATAATGCCATTGTAAGTCGAGTAAGATCTATAGTGTTACATCCTGATCCTTTATTTCTCCATAGTATATTCACACAAGTGAAATTGCTAGATCAAGTGGTATGTTTTGTTTTTAATTTCAGTAGGGTTTATTTTTGTTATATTTTTAAGGATTATAAGCTTACTTTTTTTTTCTAAAACTCTTTTCAGTGTTTTTATTATTTTTATTTTTGAGGGAGACTGTGAGCAGAGCAGGGTCAGAGAGAGGAAGACACAGAATCCAGATCAGGCTCCATGCTCTGAGCTGTCAGTACAGAGCCCAATGCAGGGCTTAAACTCAACGAACCACAAGATCATGACCTGAGCTGAAGTTAGATGCTTAACCGACTGAGCCACCCAGGCACCCCATATCAGTTTACATTTCTACCAATGGTAGAGGAAAGCCTGTTTCTCCACATCCTTGGATAGCATTTAGAAATCTTTCTAACGTTTCCCAGTATGATCAGTTTAAAATGGTAAAAGGCCTTTGGGCGCCAGGGTGGCTTAGTCAGTTAAACATCCAACTTTGGCTCAGGGTATGATATCCCAGTTCGTGAGTTCAAGCCCCGCATCAGGCTCTGTGCTGACAGTGCAGAGCCTCCTTCGGATCCTCTCTCTGATCCTCCCCTGCTTGCTCACTCTCTCTCAAAAGTAAATAAACATTTTTTTTAAATGGTAAAAGGTCTTTATTAGTATTTAACAGTGAAAAGAGAAAGGATACTGATAAGGATAAACATTTATGTATTTGAATGACATTTTACTCTTGGTTTTTAAAAACAAAACAAAAACACCTGATCCTTTCAGAGGGCCTGATAGAGCATTATAACTCTTTTTCTTGGGGTTGTGAGTTCAAGCCCCGTGTTGGCTATAGAGATTACTTAAAAATAAAATCTTAAAAAAAAAGAACTTGGCCCTTTCCTAACATGAAAAATGCAAGAGAGAATAGATACGTTTTTCTCTGTGCAGTTGAATAAGTAATTAATGTTTGAAACAGTCAGGTTTTAAGTGTTTTTTCCTGCTTCACTCATTTTCTTGAAGTAAGCAAGCTAGGTAATTAATGGCTTCTAATTTTCCCCAGCTTAATGCAGACCCCGAAAGAGAAGAAGGAGAAGAGTTTGAAGACAACATGGATGTTTTTGATGATAGCAGTTCCAGCCCTTCTGGCACCTTAAGAAATTATCCACTCACCTGCAAAGTTGTTTATTCCTACAAGGTGTGTATTTCTGTAACCTAGTGCTCATTTGAAATAGTGGCAATGCTGAAGACACACATGACTATATCTACCTAGCCCTAAAATTGGTGTTCAGTTAATATTAGAGACAATATAACATAGTGGTGAACAGTCTAGACTCTGACCTCAGACTGCCTGTATTAAAATGCCACTTACAAGCTATATGACCATACTGATTAGTCCCTTCGTCTCTGTGAGCCTCAGTTTTCTTATCTCTATTATGGAGGTAATATATAGCGCTAGTTTGAAGATTAGAAATAACACTTTATAGCAAAGTATTTAGCATAGTGCCTGGCATCTAGTAAATTTTCAGTAAATAGAAATCTTACCCTTATTATCAGTTGCCTGCTTTGGCACAGACCCTCCATTAGGATGACGCTCAAACTTGATATTAAAAGAAAATTGTTTTACAAAGCAGTTTTGTTAAACTTTACCTTTCCTAATCTTAATATGACCACTTCTTATTTCCATAGTAAGTAGGGACCTGGATAAAAAGATGCCAGAATTTCCAAATGTGATTTGGTATAATAGTTCTTAGTCTCTCTCACCCCTGCTCTGCTTTCACATAAACTTTTTACTCACACAAAATAAATTGAGTTTCACTCCCCTCATCAGTCCATTGACCAGCCCTCTTGATGCTACCTCCAAAACATACCCTGAGCCCATTCGCCTTTCACCATCTTGGTCTAGGCCATTGCTTCAGTTACTGTAAAAGAAAAAAAACATAATTGGTAGCCTTCTGCATACTTGCCTCCCTCCCAAAAGTCCATTGTCTACTTTTCAGTCAGAATTATCTTTAACACATAAAGGAGGTTATTTTATTCCCCTGTCTAAAAACCTCTTACAAGCTTTCCATCACACATAGAAAAACAGACTTTTCACTAGAGTCTATAGTGTTCAGATTGATCTGGCCCCTGACAGTCTCCCTAACTTGATGTCAGACCATTTCCCTACCCAGCCCAGTCACCACACATTAGCCACTGTGGCACCATGCTCCTTCCTGACTTGACAACTTTGCACTCACTGCTCCCTCCACCTAGAACATCTTTCCCCAAATCTTGGTTGGCTGCGTACTGCCCTTCACTGAGGCTCAGCTCAAATAGAGCCTCTCCTCAGGTCTCCCCTGACCACCTAAATATATAACTGACTTCTCATTTACCCAACTTGTGTACACATACTCTCAGTCTCTCTCTCTCTCAAAATAAATAAACTTTAAAAAAAAAAAGAGTACTTCCTCTTTCCTAAAAGGGCTGGAGTTGTTTTTCAAAATAAACTATTTTGATGATCTTTTGAAAATTTCAAATCTTCTGCTGAGATAACTTAGAAAGGTGTTCTAGAGTATTATACAAGTAGGGTTGGGAATGTTTTCCCATCTCACATGTCAGTATGATATTTACTTTGAAGTTCCAGAATTAAAATTTAAGGTCCCTGGGGCGCCTGGGTGGCGCAGTCGGTTAGGCGTCCGACTTCAGCCAGGTCACGATCTCGCGGTCCGGGAGTTCGAGCCCCGCGTCAGGCCTTGGGCTGATGGCTCAGAGCCTGGAGCCTGTTTCCGATTCTGTGTCTCCCTCTCTCTCTGCCCCTCCCCCATTCATGCTCTGTCTCTCTCTGTCCTAAAATAAATAAACGTTGGAAAAAAAAAAAATTTTTAAAAAACAATTTAAGGTCCCTTAATGGAGAGGGTCCCGAGTGTCTGAGTGATTATAAATAGCTCACATCCATCCAACATCCCCTCTATTGACATATGCCAGGCATGTCTCTATAGTAAACTGGACTATAAAAATCTATTTAATCATTTAATCACTGAACAGTCACTCAGTGCCTAGTATGTGATATGTTTCAGGGATGCAAGAATTAGTGGACACAATTCCTGCTCCCTCCCCAGATGGATAGTCTGGGGGGAATAAATATTAAGCTGAAAAGTAGAGTACATATGAAAACATTTATAGCAGGGGTTAAAATGGCTAATTTTTCCTGTGATAGTTGGAAGCAATTCCATAGATGAGGTGGCATTTCAGTTAGGTCATGAGTAAGATCTTACTAGATACGGTGAGAAGGGAAAGAACCTTCTAAGCAAAATGAATGAAAGATAAGAGACACAGTTTGATGAGAGTATGGGATGTTCAGGAAATGTTACATTCGGTGGTGGGTGAGCATCAAGTGTGGGGATTAGAGCAGCTGGAAATAAAGATGTTTGCTGTCAGAGAGTAAAGGGCCTTGGAGACCAGACTAAAGTATGACTTTTATCCTGGTTGGTAGGGACCTCTGGATGTCCTAAAATCAGATTGGTCATGGTATAGATGCTATATGGGATAGATGAGAATAGAGAGAAATGAACTGTAAGCCTAATGGTGATTCCCATAGTCCAGACCAGCAAAGCAGGCCTGGATTAATCTAGTGAGGACAAAGAAACATTATATTTAAGGATTAGATAAAAATGCTCATAACTTTTGGGGCATCTGGGTGGCTCAGTCAGTTAAGCATCTAACTTGGGCTCAGGTCATGATCTCATGGTTCGTGAATTCGAGCCCCGTGTCAGGCTCTGTGCTGACAGCTCAGTCTGGAGCCTGGTTTGGATTCTCTCTCTC